CAACTCAAAGACTTGTTGAGCAACCTTGTTAGCCTAATCCATTGCCCTCTCTATTTCTTTATGTTGCATTTGAATGGTATAATTAGCTTGGTGCAGTGCAATCCTAAGCTCTTGATTAGTTAAAGGTCAACTTCCTTCGAGTTGTTGGGTTTGTTCATTGCATCTTTTCACTGTAGCCTCAAACTCAACAATTTTAATCTTCAAAGCTTCGTTTTCTAGCCTAGTCATTTCTCAGGCTGATGAGTAAATCAACTCACCTCCTTCCAAATCAACTACTCTTTTCTTCAAGGCCCCATTCTTTTTTCGAAATAAAATGTCATTGATGTTGTAAGGATTTTGAAAAGCCTCCTCTAAACTAATTAGTTGTGATTCGAGTTGTTCAATTTTCACTCACCTTTGTTCTAACTCTTTATTGGCATCATTTCTTTGTTCCCTTAATCTCTGGGCCTGTTGTATGGCTTGCTTCTTTTCTTCCTTGCTTCTTCTCGCACTTCTTTCTACTCCATCTAACTTTACTTTCAAAGCCTTAGCAGTATAATGTAGACCCTTAGCCTTCATATTCTTTTCCAACTCTCTGAAATCTCGGTCTAGAGCATCGAAAGTCTCTTGGATTCTCTCTTTTTCTCTGGTTAACTATTTTACCACCCCATCTCGATTTACTAGCTCTAATACCACATCGTTTTCTCATCTGCTAAACTTATTTTCTCTTTTTCTCTATCCAGATTCATCAGTCTGATTTCATTTATTAATAACTCGGCTTCAATCGAGAGCCTTCTTAATCGTTCTTCAATGATCAATGCATCTTCTAAATTTGGTTTTAGGGTATTATCATTGATTCTCCTTATCCTCCAAACCTCATACGCTGACGTGAACATTGGTTCTATCATCTTGAAATTCAAGAAAGAGGGCTTTTGACAAGCTTGTAAATCTTTGAGATTTAGTCTCAATAATTCGGGGTAGAAAATAAAACCTCAGTCTCTTTCAGTCCACTAGTAGCTAGTATGAACTGTCGGGTACTAAACTATCGAAGTACCATCAAAATAGTGTCGCCAATTACTCCCTATAGTCCATCTAACATAACAAAATTATCATTGTCGTATCTGTACAATATGTCTTCTTTGGGCAACCAATGTTCTTTCCAGACTACTTCAGTATCTTTCATATTTCATAGAGCCTCAATCTAGTCTTTTCTTCTCCAAGGTTTTGGAATCTTGCACTTGCTAAGGAAATCTGCCAAAGGAGAGAAATTTGACTGATGCTTTCTGGTCCAACCCCTTTCAACTATCCAGGAATGGCTCCATCACCATACTATCAAGAGAGATACACAACTAGTAAATTGACCACCACCTGATCTCCTACACTTGTTTAAAGACATGGATGTTTCTACTAGGATGACTAGTGCGAGATTTATTTTCCTAGCAATGACTTCAAGAAAATCTATTATGACAATATTGAAGTTATCTTTCTTTCTCGGGAAAACTACCAAACCATATAATGCGAGTGCAAACTGATCTCTCATTTTCTTAGATGGTGCTTGCTCATATATCAAACCCTTTAGTTGAGCCCACGAGATCCCATCGTTTTGAATATACTTTGTGACCCATTCATATGTCTTCCTAGTCAAAGTGACCATCTTAGTTATGAATCCTTTAGGTCAGATTTCCTCAATGTAAAGTGAATGCCTTTCGACGTTTGGTGTGTTTAGCAAGGTAATATACTCTTCGAAGGTAGGGGTCATGTCTACTTTGCCAAAAGTGAAGCAACAATACGCGAAATTCCAACATTCATACAAAGCTCGAATGATAACTGTGTCGATCGATACTCTTAGTAAATTTGCTACATCTCCATAAATCTCTCGATCTCATCCTAACTGGCGCAAATTCTTAACAACTCTACCCAATGTGTTTGCTTGACACCAATAATAACCTCATCTGGCATCACAAATTCTTCACTATCTACAATACTATTTCCAAATTGCGCTTGTCCATACTCTGACCAAGTCTGAACATTTATCACATTCTCGATCCTATTGGATGACATTGTTGCCTCAAGCCCATTTTACGATATCCAAATGATTCGGGAATCAATATCTTCTATGTGATGTTATGAAATGAAATGAGAATGATACATACAAATAAGATACAAAAGAGATAAGTTAATACAGTTAAATTAATTCAAAGAATAATAAATGTTAATTACAGACACAAAACACACAAAGAAAATTAAAATCATAACCACATGTGTTCTAATTCTCTTAGGTTATCCACATGGCTCTAGCGGGGTAGGTATACTAAATCTTTTATATGAGGTTTGGTTCTAAGAAGGTTCCCAAGCCCTCTTTACAACCTGCTAAGGTTAACTCTGATTTTTTCCCATTACAGACTTGCGAATCGGATTCGACATAGAGGATCACACTACTAAAAGCGTGTCTCAGAACTAATATCAGGACATGCAACTTATGATGCTTTCCAAGGATAATTTTTTAGACCTGCACGAGGAAGCCTAATGCTCCTTATGAGGTGTGACGTTTCCCCCTACTTAGGTTAACCGAGATTGAGCTCAGGTTTAGAGCTATGATATGCAACAATCCTAAATAAATTCACAAAAGTGTAAGCATTAACCAAATAGAATTTTTTTTTCCTTTTTTTTGAAATAATATAATGAACTGTAAATTAAATAAGATCGAACTCATAATTTCCATAATCCTAAATATAGTGTAACTAACTTGTGGCTCAACTCTCAAGTTATTTTTGAAAACAAAATTTGCCCAGTGGAGTCGCCAAGCTGGTGTCACCATTTTTTGCCTGGGTGGGGAAAAATATGTACGACTTAGGGGTTTTTCTTTGAAAATATTTTTTTTGAAATGTTGGGAGTCGCCACCAATCATTTCAAGGTGCGATCGGGACACCATAAAACCGGGTAATTTTAATAAAACATTTTTTTATCAAAATACCAAGTTTAGGGTTTATGAAAACCAAAAATAGGTTCGGGAGTCAGTTACGCGTGGGGAAGGATTAACACCCTTACAACGCCCAAAAATCGGTATCTAGTTGATTACCCTATATTTAAAATTAGAAATTTTGAGTTTGAAGTTTTATTTAATTTATAAATCACTATGGATGCGCAGATGGAAATGATGTTTGTTTATTTAAACCAATAGTGTTCACCCCCTAGCATGAATGTGGGAGATCAATTATTGTGCAAAATAATTGAACAATTCCTCGAAATTGTAAAAAATGAAGGGTTTTGAAAAAGAGGTCCATCTACTTATGTAATTACCAGTAATCACCCCCAGAGCATGATTGTGGGAACTATATCATTAATTCCTTGGTAAATCAGCATTGCCTTAGTTTTAAAATCAGAATGCAATCTAACAATCCATTTATTGAACCTTGTTAAACTACACGATTAATTAAGGCTTCCTCTATCCTAAAGCATCAAATTATGAAATTGGAATCTCTTATATTAATCTTAATTTATTCTAATCAATTATTGATTCGAATAATTGATTTAAATCATCAGACATCTTAATGCGAAAACCAAATCGAATTATTCCCTAAATTTAAGGACTAAGATAAAATTAAGGCTGAAGTGGAGGCTCTAAATAACCTAATTAATTATTTCAAATGAAAATATAATTAATTATTCTCTTGCTTCTCTCAACTACGCCTAATACAAAGCCTAAAACCACTGTTGACACCATATTGCGGTAGCCGGAGAAACCAAAACAACCTCTAAACCGACCTGCACACTTCACTTTCCCCTCTGAACAAGATCTAGCGATGGCGAGCTCTCTATAATGGAAAGGGCTCAAGAACCTCCCCGACAAGCTAGATCTAACCTGGTAACCACGATCTAACCTCCCTTTTTTGTTTATTTTGGAATGCAAGTAAAAATGTTTGTAAAAAAACTCGAATACCTCTTGTTGTTATCTTGTTTGTTGGATTTCAAATGAAGGATGAAAAGTAAAGAAAAAGAATTTTTGAATTCAGGAATTTTCTGGAAAATGTTTTCTTTTTATTGTTTGCTTGATTCCCTTATTTTCGAAAATAGAAGGAGAGAGCCCCTTTTACATGTTGATTTTTAGGTTTTATACCCAAGATTTTCCAGAGATACAAATAAAAAAATTCCTAATCCCTACTTGCTTCTCTGGCATTTATTGTTTCCCTCTGCATATGGTGGGTTACATTTTTAATGCCCTAGATTTTTCAGGGGTTTGTTGAGATTTCTAATGAGATTTGGTTCAGCTAGGCTTGACGCTGGCGACGACCGGCGCGGCTGGACATGGGACGAACTCAGTCGACGGCGAGAATCAGCTTTGGCAGCAACGTCAACTGCTGCTATCAAAGATAGATGGTGGCTAACCCTAAAATTAGGGTTAAAGTTAGCCACAAAGGGGTAGTGTTATGGCCTTAGGGTTTTTTTTGGGGTTTGGTTTTGTATGTTGGGCCCGGGTTTGTAATAAATAATAACAATAATAATATAATAATAACGTTTGAAAAATGGTGATTACAACAATAAATTGCCAAGTTGGGTAATATAAAACTTTGATGGCTTGGTCAAGTTTATGTTAGGTCGGACTCAGAAGTAAGAAATGAATATCAAATGTAAAATTTGAAGGATTATAATCTACACGTAGCAGGGAATTCATAAATATTTTTAATGGTAGATACATGTATATTAATAACACAAAAGTTTTATTTGGGATGAATATAAATAAAATTTTAAGATAGATACAATCGATAAAATAGATAAATAATAATAAAAATTAAATTTTATGATAGACATGTGTATACCCTAAACTAATAATAGATCCGTCATTATGCATGAAAACTAAGAATATATTATATACAACTGAGCTATTAAATCTGCAGTTTATCAGTAACTTTATTAGGAGATTTTCTAACAAACGTGCATATATAGTCATTTGATAGTTAATCAAATTAGACAAAAATAAATTAACTTGAACATATTTTTAAATCTATGAATTTTTCAAAGCACTACCAGTCATCCTTGTGGAAATCAGCTGCTGCCATGGTTCTATTACCATTTCCATCGTCATTTTCTCCGATACTGCTCGTATTGAAACCACCTGCAGCTGCCATCAAATTTTCTCCATATCCGATCCCTCTTCCACCATGATCACCGTAACTCTGCTTTCGATTAACTTGCGTCCCGAGCGAAAAGAATCCACCGTTGTAGCCCTGGAAATGATCTCCCGCATTTACGTTGTTGAATTCATTAGCCCCGTACGATGTAGGAGACTGCTGGTGGTGGTTATCTTCTTGCCTGACCATGGAATTCTTCTCCTCTTCGGTTTCCCTATACCTGTTGAGATAAACCTTGAGAGGTCCGACGTAATTCTCGAAGCCCAGCGTCACCATTGCCCACAACAGATCGTCGCCGTTTATGGTCTTCCTTTTCTCCCTCTGACACTTGTCGGAAGCCTCACCGGTGATGAAGCTGATGAACTCCGAAACGCATTCTTGCACCGTTTCTTTGGCTTCTTTGGATATTTTGGCGTTTGTGGGGAGGGATTTCTTCATTATTCGACTCACGTTAGCTATGGGGAGGAAGCGATCTTGTTCTTTAGAAGAACTGTCGGAGATGTTCCCGGACGAGGGGCTGCCGACGGGGCTGCTGGGTCGGTTTCTTTTGCCAGTCATGGCGTTTAGGTATAGGAACTGTGTTCAAGGTAAAAATGGGGGGAAATATCCAGAGTGAAGTAATTGTTTATGAAATGAAACCAGTTGGTTGAAGAATCTAGTTAAGGGTACTGTGGATTTATAAGCTAATAGAAGACAAAGAAATATATATATATATTTTTAGTCTAGGATGAGTGGTGAAATTTGGTGATAGAGTTTGGAGGGATCAACTTAAAATTTTTTAAAAAATTAGAGGTTTAAATTAAGATTTTTAAATTTTTTGAAGGATTTAGTTTATATTTTTTTCCAAAAAATTCGGGTTTAACTATAATTTTTGAAATTTTGAGAGGCTTAATGAGAATTTAAAAAAAAAAATATGGGAGGGAGTGTAATTAAGAACATTAAAAAATCTAAAATTTAATTTGAATTTTTAAAAAATTTGTGGGGCCAAATTGAATTTTTTTAAAGTTAAGGGTCAAAATTAGATTTTTTAATTTTTTTTGGGGGCCATGGCCACTCTAGTCCAGCTTGTGTTCCACCCTGATTATAAGATAATGTTTATTCGAAAGATTATCAACTATTTGACAATAAACGCTTAAATATCTCTACAGATGTCGTGCTCGAACTTAAACCTTATATGAATAACAATCAACCAACTATTGAAATCGATTGGTTCATACCAAAAATATATATTAGAACAAAAAATAGGAATAGTGAGGTACTGATGTAGACAGGAAAGGAAAAGAAGGATCAAAAGAGAGCTTATTAAGTTTTTGGAATCTTAAAGAGAAAGTGTGAAAGTAGTTTAATAGAAAGGAGCTTCTCATTTACTATATAAAAATGATGATCAGGTCCCTCAATTCCCATATGCAATATTCAGTCAAAACTTAAAACTCACTCCTACGAAAAAGGAAATCCACGACCAACCAACAAAGCTGAATATATATTTGGCCAATATGCATAACAAAAGGTTCTTCTTCTGCTACTGAATTCTGTAACAGAAGTTTGCATTGTAGAGCCTAATCTACCACATTGGGCTTCACTGTATCACTGTATCAATATTCAAAATTATAATAAATATTTATAATCATAAACGTAAACTAAACACATAATTAGAATATTTACTATAACAAATTGACGTAAGAAACTAGTCATTTGAGATCATACAAGGATTGTAGAAGGAAATGGTTAAAAATCATCCAAAAAACTTGAACAAAATGTATATACAAACAGATCGGACTACTTCGACAAATGAACCACAACAAGAGACCATAATACTAAAAGACCACCGCCATTCGAAAATCAGATTTGAGCATCGTGAGAAAACTATCTCTAAACGCAAACCATGTATCTAAATCCAATCTGATGGTTCAAAGCAAGAATGATCATTAGCATAATAAATAAACATCATCAGGATAATAAATAAACATCATCTTTATCAGTCGGGTCAACGTCAAATCTAACCCTGATAAAATTAAATGAATAGAACAATCAAACGATTGATAAAAAATATAAAAAAATATGCAAAAAGACATAAAAAAATATATCATAAAGATAAAATTATTAAAAATTAAAAAAAAGAGAAAAAAAGATACCATATAAAAAAATAGAGGGATAACAAAGAATATGGAGATAAGCAACTAGCACCAAGTTGATGCCGCGCCGCCATTAGACAAACAAAAAATGAGGGGAAAAAAAAAGCGACACAAAAATTGAGAGAAACTAGGGCAAACCTATATCAAGGATTTTACAACACATGACACTTATTTTAAGAACAAACCTAGCTTGTACTTTAGAATGCTACCGATGTTCAAATTTCAAATATATTGAATGTATGAACTAACAAAATCAAGACTCAAATTCAATTTTTAATTTTTTAATGCCACAGTTTATGGATAGAAGGATCAAACTAATGAAAATAAGCCCCAAATTCAAATTTGGTTGATTCTTATATTAGGGTTATTATTAATCAATATATATAGCATTAAATTCATGCATGTGTAATTACGTAGGAAAAATGGGCATGGTATCTTTTGTACGATTTGATTGGAAAAAAGAAAGCATGAACAAAACACTTTGCACATATGCTTTACTTTGCTCTCTATCGCTCTCTTTCTTTTTGGTGCTTTGCTTTTTCCTGGATGTGACGGAGATTCTCCCTACCTATCATATCCCTCCATTGCTACTCACTCTCCACTAGAATTAAATTTTTGGTTGGTAAGATGACTTAACCTTTTATACTAGTCATATTTTTGTTTTTGGTAAACTACCCCAACGTCATTAAACTATGGGCTTGAATTTATTGATCATTAAACAAAAAATTTTATCATTTAAGTCACTAAACTATCAAATTAGTTTGAATCAAGTCACTATCTGTTTACAGTTAACAGAATTACAAACATGATAATTAACTAAATATGTTTAATAACACATTTGATCTTTATTACTGATACATTCTATCAATATGATCTTAATTTTATCTAGAATTAATTTAATAAACAATAAGATAGTGACACATATCACCGCCTTATCGGAGGAAAATAAGAAAATAAGATTAAGGGTATAAGGGGAACCGAACTTAGGTCTCAAGGTGGCATAGGCATGCCTAAATCATTGAACCAAGTTTAGTATTTGGTTAATGATTGACAAGGCTTAGACTCAAACTTAGCCGCTTCTCAAATAAAGTTAGGTGTCCAAAGGGGTTTTTCCGAAGGGGTCTCATTTCGAAATAATTTTTTTAATGGTAGGTTGATGATAAAATGTGGTTCGAGGAGTCGCCACCAATCTTTGATTATAGTGTGATTGGGCACCCATAAACATTTTTTTTTCATTTTAATAAAATATTAATTTTAGTTAAAACAACAAACTTGTGATCTGCGTTACCAAAATTCGAGTTCGGGAGTCGGTTACGTGTGGGGAAGGATTAGCACCCCAGAGCGCCCTAAATTAGTACATAGTCAATTAATTAATTGTCTTTGCAATGAAGTTTACGAGTTCGAGTCTAATTTTAACTTATGATCCCTTACATAATTTTTTTTACTTTTTGGACGAAACATGATGATATTTAATTATTTCTTATCGAGAAGAATCAATTTCTCATACCTTAAAGCAATCGATTCTTACTCCAATTGAAATAAAGAAATATTAAAATTCCATTCTAGAGTTCATTATTAATTCAAAAATAACAACACCCAATATAATTTTAAGAGTGAAAAAGATAATATCTAATTATTTCCAATCTAGAATAAATGACCTTTCGTGCATTAAAACAATCATTTATTACCCCAATTGAAATAAAGAGATATTACTATTAAGCCTTAAAATTTAATATCGATTCGAGTTAAAAAGATAATATCTAATGATTTCCAATCGAGAATAAATGATATCTCATACCTTAAAGCATACATTTATTGCATCAATCGAAATGAAGAGATATCACTATTTCATCCTAAGAATCAATATTAATTCGAGAGAAAATGGCAAAATCAAATTATTTCCAATCGAGAATAAATGACCTCTCATACCTTAAAGCAGTCATTTATCACTCCAACTGATATGAAAAGATATAATTATTCTCAAGATCGATTCAAATGTTATTATTTTGAAAAACCCTTGGAAAACTCATGCAAAAATAAAACAAATTAAAAACATATCAAGCAAGTAATTAATTATTTATTTTACCAATATTTAATGAGAATAAGGATGTTCAATTATTTAAATATCTCGAGACGAGACTTTAGATTCGATCTAATAGTCTTTTCTCAATGAATTTAATTAAAAGAACATGATCTTTTTTTCCCAATTCCTCAATAGTAAAATGAATTCGATCTAGTTTGTGTCACTAAATGGGATATACGTTCGTTTTAAAATCATCGAAAGTAACTTTCTTATACGTTAAGACAGTCACTTACGATAATATTAAAATGAACGAATATTACCCTTAGTCAATTTATTTAGATTCGAGTCAAGTGATGCTTATGAGGGTATCAAGCAAAATTAATTAGGACTAAAATGAACTAACATGCAAGCAACATGCAAAAATTAAAATAAAAAAAATAAAAATAATACTAAATCATAAACAATCAAACCATCATGCCAAAATTAAAATAAAATAAAGTATACAAGTGACTAAAATGAGCATTTTCAATATTGGGTGCTAAAATTACAAAGAATAAAAATAAATAAAACAAGGGGACTGAATTAAAATAAATTAAAATTACATGGACAAATTAAAATAAATAAAAAATATATTCAGGTTCAAAATATAAACCTATAGAAACTATAGAGGTTATTTCATAAATATTCCATTTTACATAGCCTAAAATACATTTGAAATAAAAAGGGAAATTACTAAATCAGTCTCTAAATATTAAAAAAATTAAACAGCCACTACACATGACCAAAATGCAAAAACACGCTAAACATACAGGGATTATACAACAAATAACCCTAAACATATATAACATACATAAAAGTGGGTAAATTACAAAAGCAACCCTTACAGGTGACTAACATGCAAAAACATGACTAAACTAGGGGGACTAAAAGGAAAATAAACCAAAAATACAAAGCATAAACATAAATGGGTAAATTATGAAAACAATCTCTACACATGACTATTTTGCAAAAAGGTGCTAAAAGTCGTGGGACTAAATAACAATTTTCCCTGAAATTTTTCTATAAAATACAAATCTTTTGTTTTTTCATTTGAAACCAGTCCAGCTGCCGCATACGATGGTCAGAAATCCCAAACCGAGTAAAAAAAACTCCTATCACCCCGATCTACCCTCCTAGACAAATATTCAAGCTTAAAGCTACTTAAAAACTCCCTAAACAACCCCAAAAAGGCCCCAGCCTTTCAATTACCACAAACTCCGACGACGAAGAACCGACCTCAATCCGTTTCGACTCCCCCAACTAAGGTAAAAATCTATTTTCTCTCTTTTTTTCCTTTTTATTTCGTAAATGTTTGGCTTCTATTTTTTGCTTTGTTTTCGAACACTGAAAAAACACAAGAAAATTACCTTTGAAAGTTTCCTTTTTTTTAAAGGCTTCATTTTTTATTTTCAAAAAACCCCTATTTTATTTCGAACACT